TTCTCAGTTCTTGTGCCCATTTTTGTAAGGCTATCAGGATTAGAATTTTGTGAACAGTGAATTGCAAGTAGAAATTGATTTTTTTTGTATCTTTTCTATTTATAGAGCGATCAAATAATTGGAGATTGTTAGTTTCAGGTTGAGTTATTAGATTTTTTAATAGAAATGCTTGAACTTTTAGGTAATTTAAGAATTCCTTGTTTATCAACGATTTCACAGAAGGGTTTAATTTTGTTCCCTTTTATAAAGTGAGGGAACAATATGGTCCCCTTAGATTTCCAATTAGTTAAATCAGCATCTTGTAAATGATCCATTAAAATATCTACTTTCAAAGAAGGTAATATTTTCTCCTTGAGCTCTAGATTGATTTTATACCAGTTTTTTAAAACAGAGTTCAAAGATAGAATGTTCCCAAAGAAGTTTTTTTTTTTTTAAATTATCCCTAAAGGGTGATTAAGTCTGTCCATAGAGGGGAAATCCAGTCCTCCCTTGTCTATTTTCTTAGCTTATAACTTTTGGCTTATTCTATGTCTTTTGTTTGCCAGATAAACTTAAAGAATAGAGTCTGGACTAACTTAATCCAATTTAAGGGTATATTTACGGTCAACAAGCTCATCAAATAAATTATTTTAGGTAAAACATAGGATTTAACTATGTTAATCCTTCCCCACCAGGATATTTACTTTTTTTTCCAGAGTTTAAAATTAATATTGAACTTTTTAATTAGGGGAAGTAAATTAATTTCAATCCAATTTCTGGGATTTGTGGAAATCTTTATACCCAAATAGGTAAGAGATTCTAGTTGAGCTCCCCGGGTCCTCTCCTGCCTCCCTCCATGCTGCAGTGAGGAGGGAGGCTGAAAGCAGAGCTCGGATAGCGCTGGCTCTGCATGAGCCGACAGGGGGGATCCTGAGATCTCCCCTGCCGTCTCAATACATAGGCGTACAGCAGGGATTAGGGTGTGCCCAGGCACACTCGGCACACCCTGTGCGCACGCCTATTACCCCAGGGGAAGTACGTGTTGTATGTGTGGTGTGCAACACAAAGCTACGTTTAGTTATGGGCCCCTGGGGTGGATTATTTGGAGAGCAGAGTGGGCCAATGCTCCACTCCTCAGTTTATACACAACTGGGAGAAATAAGGTCCAGGCCAGAGTTTTTTGGAACTGTCTCAAACCCACTGCTCAGCTGCAGATAATCAGCTGTAGCAGTGGGAATAAACCCCTCCCTGCTAGGCAGGTAAAGGGGGATTGCTGGCTTCCTCCCTGGAAGCAGGTAGGAGAGAGGCTGTTCTCTCCAGTGAGAGAGTCAAGGAGATTGAGCACTGGGAGTGCAGAAGGAAAGCAGTTAAGGCTGACATGGAGCACTGGGTGCACAGAAGGAAAGCAGTTAAGGCTGGCTTGGAGCACTGGGAGTGCAGAAGGAAGCAGTCAAGGCTGGCCTGGAGCACTGGGAGTGCAGAAAGGAAAGCAGTTAAGGCTGGCTTGGAGCACTGGGAGTGTAGAAAGGAAAGCAACAGGCTGACTTAGCACTGGAGTGCAGAGAGCTGACAAAGACACTAGGTTGGTGAAACCAATATTGTTTTGTTCTAGTTTAACCCCTGAGAGATAGGGAACCTGAAGTTAGTAAGAGCTCAGACGAGCTAGGTTTTTGTTTATAGGGATTTTTGTTATATTTATGTTTTCATTTGATCCTGTCTCCTGTGTGGACTTACAAAGTAGTGATAATGTGGAAGAAGGTGAAAAGCCAGCTGGGTCCTCCAAGGAACAAAAAGAAAAAAGTTAGTAAAGAGTCCAGCAAAGCTAAAGGAAAAAGCGGAATTATCAAGAGACAGGGATGGTGACACTGATGACATGCGCCAAAGTAAGAAAGGGCAGAAGAATCAGAAGGGAGAACGAAACAAACTGATTACTGAAGTTGACAAAGGTTTATTTGAGAATCAAAACATTGCAGCTTCACGTGAAAGCCTCAAACTTGCTCTGAGTGGCATCACAACAGATAAAGAGGTCTTTGAAAAAGAGTTGGTGGTAAGCAAAAACCACCCAGAAGGTGTAAGTAAAGCTAGTGAATACAGCCAGGGAAAGAAAAATGAAGCAGAAGTCCCTGATGTACACCCAAGTGAACAAGTCAAAGGCATGAAAAGCAGACTGACTTGGGGAGCCAAAGAAGACAACAGCAAAGGAGCTGAGCTTAACAGAGAGAAGCAAAGCACCCAAGTTGAGTTCAAAAATGCTGTGCACTGTTTAGTAGCCGAGGCTACCCAAGAATGTTGACCAGCTGTTGGACAGTTTGGCAGAGAAAAGCAAGGCAGAGAAGTAGTGACAAAACAAAGTAAAAATAAGAAACGCAAAGTAGCCGCTTCTGATCTAAGCCAAGAGAGAGCAACAGTTACAGAACCAAGCTGTGATAAGATGGGCATGTCCGCAGCTAAGCCCAACCAAGGCAAAAATGACAAAGTAGATGACATTGGTGTAGCAGAATTAAATATTTCAGAGACACCTGATATTGCTACAAAGACTTTGAATAATTGTTCGGGAGCCGTAGAACTGGAACTGCTGGCAAAGACTACATCTACAATGCCTGGGCGCACTGACTACCTGGAACAGCTGCCAGATTCTGGGAACACAGTAATGGAATTAAAGGCGGGACTCGTACTGCTTGACCGGCTGTTTGATACCGGGGCTGTCATGATCCAGCGAGAGGCCATGACTGCGTCTCTGGACACCCCCAAGGGAGCAGGGAGAACGCCAGACAGCCCAGAGGAAAGCTTTTCTGACATTGAGAGGTGGCCACTCAAGGCCAGACAAGTGGATGATACCCCTGGGGAGGAAACCAGGCAAAGGAAAGATGAGCTAAGCCGGGAGTCTGTGTTATATTTATGTTTTCATTTGCTGCTGTCTCCTGTGTGGACTTACAAATAAAGTGCCTGGATTATATAAAATTAAAGGACTGTGCCTGTTGTTTACCCTAGAGGACCGTGCTACCTGCAGACAAGGATCACACTCCTAACATCCTCTGGGGATTTACAAATTTTATCTGGAGATAGACATACCTTTCCCTCATACACCATTTTTGAAATCATTTTCGCTTTATGTATTTTCATAAATTAATGAGTTAAGAGTTTGTCAGCTCTATTGCTCTTGTAATACCAGGTGGTTTTCAGTTTTTCTAAAATTTTATTAATTCTTGTTATTAACTGATAATTAATTTGATTTTTAATATCTTCAATTTGTTTTGAAATATTTATTTAAGGTTTAGATTTATTAATTCTGGAAAGTTTCTCCAATTCAATGTATAATACAGAGAGATTTTTTCCTCTGTTTAAGTTATTTTGGGATGCTGATTTAATAAAATGTCCCCTTAAGACACATTTAAATGCAGCCCATACCACTGTTGGAGAAAAGTCAGAGGTATTATTCTCCTTAAAATAAAGCAGTAACAAATTCTTAATGTATTCTCTATTAGAATGGGGCTCCAGTAAGAATTCCTTTTAGTTTTCACTCAGGTCTTTTCCTGGCAAATTTATCTTTAAGAACTGTGACTAGCATATTGTTGTGCTTTCGAAGTCTTTTAGGACATAGTCAATTCTCGAATAGATTAGATGGGATATTGAGAAACATGTATAGTCCCTTTCATTAGGGTGAAACATGTGCCATGTATCCAAAACGGTGTTATGGTGAATCAAGTTTCAAAATCTCATCGCTTGATAACACGATTTTCTGTCTTGTACCCTTCCTGTATAGGATTGTCTATCCATCTTTACATTCATAACACAATTAAAATCGCCCAACCAAATAAATGATCCCTGTTTTATTTTATCAACCCAGAAATTGGATGAATTTCGTAGGTGCATGCTTTGGAGCCTTTACACTGGCCAGTGTGTAAGGAATCTGGTTTACAATACATACTATTATTAAATATCTTCCTTCTTTATCATACTCAATATTTTTAATTCTTAGATCTATATTCTTGGAGAAAAAGAAAGCAACTCCTCTCTTTTTCTTTTCAAGAATAATGGTAGGAAAATCTTTAGAGTTAAAACGAATTTTATCTATTTGTGTCCAGTGTGTTTCTTGAATTGCGTCTATATCAATGTTTTGTATTCTCAGGGTCTGAAACAGTACTGACCTCTTAAAAGGCCTTGCACACTTAATGAAGCATAATTAACAATTTTCCCGTATTTGAGACCACTCTCTCTCTTCCCTCAAACCATCAATTAGATTAAAAAGAAAAAAACAAAAGAACACATATATCACAATAAACACATTTCAACAAATGATCTAAGGTAAAAATACCTTCTCCAGAAAACTTCTCTAAAGGTGAGAATTTGAAAAGTACTGTCCCTGCCACAGCCTCTCCCTGAAAATAGGCAGGGATTTCTGCCATTTTTTGATGGCAATAAAAAAAAAGAGTAAAGAAGAATCAAGTGGATGATCTGTCTTCTATATACGAGAAGAGGGGTAAAAAGAAAAAAATAGCTATAAATATTTTTTTTCATCCTGTGCGTTTGTATGCATTTCTTCCAGACATAGCTCTAAAGTTGAAAGTTTAGGCTTTACGTTATGAAATTTTTTCTTTTCTTTTTAATTATTAATGTTCCCAGAATTACAATATCACTTTCATGTACTCACATTATTAGGCTGAAAGTGATATTGTAATTCTGGGAACATTAATAATTAAAAAGAAAACAAAAAAATAATAGTCATATGCAATTTGTTCTTTCTTGTGCGTTTAAGTACATATCTTCCTGACATTATGGGATGGGGCATGACAGCAATGGCGTCTGGACGTGTTAACATTGAGCTCCTTATATATGCCTTGATTTTGTCCAGTCGCCCTTGCCATCTACACTTTACCCGGAGCAATCTGAAACTCCTAGCTATCCTGCATTGTTGACCGGCTCAGGGTTGCTTCCAGGGGTCACTGACGACAACTCTTCACAAATTGAGTGTGAGGCCTGGCGAGCACAGTAGTAGGGAGAGCCTGACGCGTGTCGACCTGATGGAGGCCAGGCTGGACGCCATCTTCTACAGGTTCTGGAGAGAGCTGAATGAGAGGTGTCTCCAGCCTGCTACACAAGCCCCATCAACTACCTTACCTGCGAGAGTAGCCCGGCGGCCCTGGAGTTGGCGATCAACTTTGGGCCCAATGGCGGCCTGTTCCCGAAGGCACAGACCCCGCCAACAGCACCAGAAGCGAACATCACATGGCACAACACAGAAGCGGGTCAACAGCAAACCACGAACGGTGTTCAAAGTGAGAGCTGCAGAGCAATGGGAAGCACTGCGCATACCGTATGGACTGACTGCTCATTCTACCAATTTGTCACAAGTGATTGAAGCACATAGATGTCTCCACAGCATCATACTGCAGGATTGTATCCTGCCCGGTATCGGCTGAAGTGTGAATGGGGGGCCTCGATGCAGCTCTCTCTGGGCCATGCAAGCCATCCCTGTGGAGAAGTGCTGATGTACAAGCTACTCCTTTAATTGTGGGCAAATTACCATTTTTTTCCTTTTCACTAATCTATTATGCCTTTCCTACATCCATATAGAGGGGCCTATGGGGTGGTAACCTTGTGATGCTGAACAGATCAGCTAGTCTAGCTTATCTCACCAATTACTTATTACTAACTAGGCATTTAATGCAATTGTTATTCTCCATTGTTTTGTTTTTCCTTAGTACTCTCGTTGCATAGTGCTACTCTTTTTTTACTTTACTTTAAAAAAAAAAAAAAAAAAGAAGAATATGCAGATTATTGTATTACATGCTGGATATAATGTTTTACACTGCCTTCCTTACCGTATATGAGCATTATCCATGTAGTCATGCACATAAAAAATAAAGAATATAAAAACATTTTTACAAAATTGAACTTTAGGCTCTACGTTATGAGGATTATTAGACTAAAAATTCTATTTTAAATGTGTAGTCATGGTTAGAAAAAATGGTAGTTTCCAATCATAGACATTGCATTGCATATTAAACACGTTGTCTGTATAGGGAAGAAAAAAAAGAGAAAAATAATATTCTTTCTATTTTCCCTTCCTCTCCCTCCCCCTAAGCAATTTCAAAAGAGTAGTGTTTTCTAGCATTACATATTCATTTAACATTATTGTTCAACATACCCGTTAGGGGTGTGGTGATAAACACTAATTTCAATTATAAAAAATTAGAATATAAAAACATTGATATTTTCCCTGGAATTTGAAAAGACCCCCATTTACGTTCAAGATCAAACATTTTGTATGGTAAATATTATTCCTTTTCTAGTATTGAACAATCTTCATTCTTGTAATTTAAAACTTCTGCTCTTAATCAACATTGTTATATAGTGCTACAGCACGGGAGAAGTAAGTCAATGGAGAGAGGAAAAAAAAATAAAAAACAAGTGTAGTTGATCAGGGCAATCTTCCTTTCAATTCTGTGCATACTAACAGTAAGAGGAAAAATAAAAAATATTAAATACTAGAAATAAGTATATGTTCGTATACACATATACAGACGCATACATATGTATACACATGTGCATGAACATATCCAAGTGTATCCCACATGTAACCCTTACATTTTCATAAAAATACTCCATTTCTGAGTTGGCAATCTTTATCCTTTATCCCTGCCCCTTTCTCCCGCTTTCCTCCCCCCTTATGTACCCCTAATAAAAATTAGATCAAGTGAATATAGTGCTTTCCTTCTGTGAGCGTGGAGTGTCCTTGTTTATCAATTATAGTGAATTTTTTCACATTTTGGTTTTCTTTTCTCTTTATACGTAAAATATTTATATTTGATTGAGAGCGTCTTTTCCTCCTTAGTTGTCTGTGTTTGGTTACATTGTGTAGTGTAGATTCCCAGTGTTTCTAACATTAAGAATTTGTTTATAGAGTTCACCCATTTGAAGTGTGCAAAAATGTCTTTCCCTTTTCTTTCCTTTCTTGCGTAGAGATTTCTGTATTTACTTTGTAGTGTCTTTTCTTGTTGTCATCTCTTGTTTAATGGAAAAATACATTGTGTAAGGCTTCAGATATAGATATTTGTAAGTGTTAGCTTAGTGAGTCTATCAAATAAAAAAAAAATCTCTTCCTCTTGAGGCTTTGTTTTATTCCAGCCTCTTCAATTTTTTTTCTTTTTTCCAGGTCTTTAAATTTTCAGGGGAATCAAAGGCAAAAGTTATATTGTTATAGTTCAGAATAATCTTAACAGGATAACCCCAAATGTAGTGGATATGATTGGCTCTTAGAATCTGTTTGTTTTGCAAAGGGTCTTCACTTTGAACGAGTATAGAAGGATAAAAATTTAGATTTTATCATATGGGTCTTGTCGCGGTGTTTCCCTTAAAAATTTTAAAATTCGATACGGGAGGTTGAGCAACAGATCAAGACATCTCTTGGAGAGTTTGAGGAAATATTTAGAGGTTTTGAAATTCTGTGCCATCGTTCAATTAGATGTTCTTGGTTTTCACATGTTATGTTTAGGTTGGCAAAGAACTTTTTCAGGTATTCTTCCAACTTTTCTTTGATTATTTCCTCTGGAATGTTTCTTATTCTTAAATTGTTCCATCTTAATTTTTCCTCCAAATCAGCGACTTTTTGTTCCAGATGTTCTATTTTTTATTGCATTTGTTTAACTTCAGATTGTTTATGTGAAGCACTGCGTTTAAAATTTAGAATTCTTTTAGTGTTTTCAGAAAATTTTAAACCTTGACTTGGTAGATGGGAGTGATGATGTGGGAGCAAATTAGGGATTGACTGATACAGATTTTTTTAGAACCGATACCGATACTGATAATCAATGAACTTTCAGGCCGATAGCCAATAATTTACCAATACCGATACTTCCATAGGAAAGCAATGAATAATGCGTTTGCTATGGGGAAATCCTATTGCGAGCGCGGCTATTTCCGCACACGCACATTAAGTCTCCCCTGCAGGAGAGGACCCAGAACAGATAAGTGACAGAAGGGGTTATTAACACGGGGGGAGGTGGGGGGTAGGTCTTGACAGAGGGGGAAGCTATAGTGCCAGGAAAACGAGTTTGCTTTTCTGGGCTGGGACTATAGTTTCCCTTTAATGTGCTGCCAGTGCCAAGTTAACCCACTGGCCATAATGCAGAAAAACATGTGTCCTCCCCCTTCCTCATATAATTGATCACTCTTCAGTTCATTTTAATTTATATTTCTTCTAGGAGCAGCATATATCCAGTACTGGGGGAGAGGAGGGGGCTTGATATTATCAATTGTATAGTGCCAATATACTACCCAATACAATACCCAGGGCTTTATTATCATTTGTATAGTGCTAGTATACTACCCACTCCCAGTGCTTTATTATAATTTTATAGTGCCAATATATACCCAGAGCTTTATTATCATATAGTGCCATGTGCCATCCACCACCGCTCTCCCCCCTCACTGACTACCAATGGCTTTATTATCATTTATAAGATAGTGCCAATATATACCTAGAGCAATATTATCATATAGTGGCATGTACCATATCCACCACCACCACCCTCCTCACTGACTACCAAGGGCTTTATTATCAGTTATAAGATAGTGCTAATATATACCCAGAGCAATATTATCATATAGTGCTATGTGCCATCCACCACCACCCTCATCGACTACTAAGGGCTTTATTATCAATTATAAGATAGTGCAAATATATATCCAGAGCTTTATTATCATATAGTGCCATGTGCCATATCCACCACTCCCCCCTTCCCCCCCCACTGACTGAGTGATAAACTATGTTTATTGGAGTAAAGAAAATTACCTTTTACAGACCAGAAGGATAAAATTGGCAAACGAATTGGCACACAAGCGGCAGAGCAGACTAGACGGCAGCCAGACAGCACTGCTACAGGCCACTAGACATCCACTAGGGGGCACTTCCTGCATTATAGCACAGAAAACCTGTGCTAGAGCGTCGCTGGACGTCCTCATGCTGTGTGAGGACCTCCCGCATCGCTCAATTCCCCATAGGAAAGCATTGAAAAGCATTTTCAGTGCTTTCCTATGGGGAGCTCTAATGCGCATGCACGGCATTACCGCACATGCACATTAGGTCTCCCCGGCCGGTGGGCGGGATCAGTCTCGCCCACCGGCAAAGGTAAAGACTGGGAGGAGCGGCGGCGAGAAGAAACCACCACCGAGGGACATCGGTGGGGTCTCATGTAATTTACCTGAAGGGGTTTTCACCCCTTCAGCAACATGGGATGGGAGATGGGAGGGATTGTTTTCCTGGCACTGGAGTTTCCCTTTAAGGTTTCAGCTAAGTTTTATGATACAGTTCTGGTTACACACGAATGTTGGTTAGTAGTGACAGCTACTAGTTGATCGATTACCCGGACTCCTCCTGCATACACCTAGTGTAGGATACACACCGGGGCGCCCACCCTGATTATGCCTGGCACGAACTAAGACCAGGTCTCTACTCCCTTCTTTCCTGTAACTCTCTTCCTCTTCCCTTTCCCCCTCTCTTCTCCTTGTCCTCGGCTGTCCGCGGGTAGGAGGGCCAGGTGGGCAGAGGGTCTCAGTGCACAGCCAGGGAGATCACTGACTGGGGGCCCCCGGAAAGCCACACAATGTCACTACACGTAATATCCCTTAATACGAAGGGGTTGACTGCCCCCCAAAAAACGTAGACTTATGTTCCGCGAAATTAAACGCCTTAACGCTGATGTGGCTTTCCTACAGGAGACTCATCTACCCCGGGGTACTTAGGTAACCCTAAGAGACCACACTTACTGCATTGTTTATGAGCCAAGAGCATTTCAAAAATGTAACAGAGTATCCATAGCAATATGCAACAGAGCCCACTTTAGGTTACGAGGACAGTCTCAGACCCGGAGGGCAGATCCCTTATCCTCTCATATCCTCTTATACTCCCATACTATAAACCTTGTGAAGTGTATGCCCATAATGACCCTGCACCAACATTTTGGGAAGCCCTGGCGACTCAACTCGCTAGCCTCCTTCATGGGATCATGATCGTGGGAGGAAAACTAAATCAAACCCCATGCCCAGCGATGGATAGGAGTTCTGAGAATGGCCGGCCCCGCTATCAGGGACGGGTGACACACGACAGGCAGGACTCATTGACATATGGAGGGCACACTACCCAAGCACCAAGGACTACACATTCCACTCCAACCTGCACAGCACATACTGACGGATCGACATGTTCCTAGTTAACGGAATGACGGTACCCAGGGAACCCACTCACACATCGGCACTATAACTTGGTCAGACCATGCAGACAAAGCCCTAACACTGTGCGGCCACCCCTTGGAACTGGAGGCTCAACGCAGCACTCCTTAGAGACCTGACAGTAGTCAGACATATTATAGAACAGATAAAAACGTACTTTGCCCTGAACACTACGGATGACATCCCCCCA